AAACAAACATAATATAACAAAATACCCGTTGAAATTAACCGTTAACTAATTCAACTCGTTCCTTTTAAACTCGTAACGTTATTTTTATCTTAGATGGCAAGTTGTATGGGTTCAAAATTTTAACAACTTCTATAGTCTTTAATTGTACATAATCTATTTCGGACAAAAATTAAACTTTTTTTCTATGCTCCCATCCCTACTGTAGTCCAATTATCTACAAAATTACCGAATTTTATTTTTCGCCAACTTATTCCTTTGAAATCGTAAGCTTTATCAAATTTCTGTCAAACATGGTTCCCTTTAACTAATCGATTTTGCCGTTCATAATTTTAATTCCACTTTGTTTTTTCCAATTTCTTTTATATTACTTCACATCCTGAAAGTATGCAATAACTCAATATACCAATTAAATAAATTAGAAATTTGCTACTTTGCAAACCATTTGCTTTAATTTGAATGTATTTATTTTATAAAAGGATCTTTGATAAGATTGATATCAAATTTCACTTTTATAATTTTATACAAGAACATTAAATTAATGTTTATTAATTAATATTTTAGCTTCAAAGAGTGTGCATTATAAATAAAACGCCCTAAATTAATTTGAATGAGTTCATTCACTTTCTTTTGTTTTAAAATTTAAGCGAATGTACTGTCTAAAGGTTACGAGGGGTTTCAGTAACATTATTTGAAATTATTGCATTTTCACATCTAATATACGTATAACAGTTGCGTATTAAATATTCAAGACAAAATTTTGTGACTTTAAAGTATTTGGTCTTATATTTTGACTATTATTATATTTAATAGTTATATATTTAATAGACAACTACCCTATTTGCAATAATATAACACTTTTTTAATTTGCATAATAGCGTAATATTAAACTGTTATATATATATTGTATATGCACTCCGCAATTAACTTGATAACAATTAAATATAATATTAATCAAATTGAAATTCATTATACTTGAATTTTATTGCATTTATTATAGTAATCTCATACATCAATAGTATATTCTATATTTCCATATAATATAATCGTACTATATATTAAAAATCTATATATATTCGTAATATTATGCTTAGATATTCAAATTATTATCAGTGCAATTCATGCATATTATATTAATCAAAACAAATTTTCCATTATTTCGAATTTTGTTAAAAGAGTCCTTATATATTACACGAATAAATACCATAATATTATGTTTTTTCGAAATAAATATAAAATTAAATATTATAATTTTATTTGAACAAATTGAAATGAATAGAAATGAATACTTTTGAAGTGAATATTTTGAGAATTTAATTAAATATTAAATAAACTTTTCACACTTAATATTTAATTAATTCAACTAATAAGATTATAAAGCAAATATATATAACTATGTACAAATATGTGTATAAGCATAATATCGATGTGGAAACGCACAAATATACTAAGTAGCAAATTTAAAATTTTCGAAAAGAAGCCACTTACTCTAACGTTGTATAATTAAAAAGGTCGTGCATTTAGCATATTTGTGTTTTGTCAGTATATCAGTTTTTGTAATGGAAATATTCTAAGAAAGCACTTTTTTTACTACTTCGGCATTTACACTAAACCTACTTGAACTCCGACAATCTCGGAAACAAGTTCACTTACGTTACTGCAACCTATACCACACAAAAAGGGCCGTTCCAAATTAGTATTGGTGTAAAAAAACGCATTTTGAAAAATTTATTACTTAGCATATCTATGCATCTCACCATCGATATTATCCTAATATGTACATAATAAATATTGAATGAGTATGCCACAACATTTATGGATTAACATTATTGTTAGAATTCTATTAACTAGAATTCGCAGTATATAAAATAAAAAGTATAAATATAAAAGATAAAATTTTTGGTTTACGGCAATTGAATCGTTAAAATTAATTAACTTTATAAATTAAATTCGTGAATAAAAATCTCCGTGAGTATATCTTGTGTGTATATTGCTCATCAAAGATTTAAAAATCAAATTGTACTCAATATAGGATCGCACAATATAAATAAAACTTTATTCAAAATTATTGTGGCTTAATGTGAAATTAAATCAATTGAAATAGAAAAAGTAGTTTCATCTCACATAAGTGAAATAACTATATTATTATCCCTTCATCAGTAATCAAATATAAAATCACATTATTTGTTAGAATAATGGGATTAACATTTATACCTAGTATAAAATAATAAAAGAAGAAATTTTGTGGCACAAATTCTATAGACACTTTTTATTAACACAGTTTAATAAAGATTTTCACCTAAATTATTAAAAAAATTATTTCAATATTTTCGGTTTTCGCTAATTTAATTGAAAAGTACTTGATAATAACTAAATTTTTATGGAATTGTTTTACGTTTCAAAGATTTTGTGATAGAATAATTTTTTTCATTGGAAATTTCTCCAAACATAAAAAATTATTTGATTTTAATATTAAAATTTCTATATAGGCGAATTTTTTTGAAAAAAATTTGCATAAACAATAAAGGATGTGGAAGAGTCAGAGTTTTTTCATACGAATTTACATTTTTCTTGTTCCAACTGTACTAAGAGTGAGCGGTAAATATGAAAATTTTCATTTATGTAATTTTCATAAAATTGTAATTCATTTAAATCGTATTGAAGCTGTGCAGAGCTGTTTCCTTCGTTTCGCTTTTCGCGGAATGGATTGATCGGATTCGTTTAGATTGCAGCTTCATAAGAGTATGATTCAGTTTTTGACCTTAAGGTCCCTTCGATGTCGTAAGATGGTTTCCGATAAAGTTTTTATTGATCAACTTGTGGTGGGTAACATGATTGCCACGGTTTCATTGTGTCAAATTTTAATACAGGGGAATCCCAGCAACTTAAGTTCGGTCGAGCTTTTCAAAATTCCGAGCCAGTGATGCGTAGATTGCGCGAAATTAGTTTGTATTCGTCTGTTTTTTGTACGAACATAAGTAAAAGAGTTCTTAAGGCCAGATTGTGCAGTAGCATTGATTTTGTTGAATTTATTTTTAGTTTATGTGACACTTTCTATTAACTTACTGTACAGTAGTCGTATTTACGTTTGGTTTTAGCTGTATAAATTTTTAATTTATTTATTAATATTTAATAAATACTACTAATTTTATTTTATGCTCTGATTATACAATAATTATCAATGAAATTTTAATAAAATATTTTTAATTTCTAAAAAGAAAAAATTAACTGAGAAAATAAATCGCTTTAAGAGACTGATCATGTAAATTGTTCAGTAAAGAATTATATCAATAACAATATTAAAGGCGTTCAGTGATTCAGCGTTTTGAACGCACCCATTAATTAAGTATGAAGAGCAGATTGCAAAATCACTTTTTCAAAAATTATGAATTATAACAAAATTATACTAATATATGCAAATACCTTTTCTTTAATTTATAATATTACTACAGGAAATGCAATTAAGCTTTTATAACACTTAACAGACAATTTCCTTGCAAATATAACAAATATGAATGAGTTTTCATACTTTCTTCTCATTTGAGATTTGTGAAATAAATTTAAAATTAATTTTTATTTTCTTCTTCTTTTTGTTAAATAAATATTAAAAAGTGTATACTAGAATTTTTAATTATAATGAAAAGTGTTATACATATATATATTAAATAATTATAAGTCAATGGTATATAAATTATAGTAGACATTTTATGTATATAAAGAAATTAGCTTATTAAATTAGTTATCGCACTTAAAATCAAGTCTTTCGAATTTTTTATTATATACATAAATTGATATATATATATATATATATATATATATATATACATATTTATAACGAATTAATATTAAATTTTGTTGAATACAAAAATCGTTTTTTTTCCCAGAATAAATTAATAAAATTATATTAAATTTTAAAGTTAACTTTTAATACTTAAGCCCGCAGGCATTTAATTAAATTTAAAGAGTTTGAGTTTAGATGAGAAAGAAATTTTAACACGATGCCCATCAAATTTATTTTTAATTCAAGAGTATTAAGTGGAATTTTTTTAACACTTCAAAATTATAATTACATAGGTATATATATATAAATATATTGTATGTATATGTAAATATTTTTTTATCCTTTATACTTCTATGTATACTATAGTTAATTAATATAATAAAGTGATTTTGGCATTAATTTAATTATTTTAATTAAATTTTTTTATAATATAAATCTTGTAAAGAGTTTAATAAATCTTATATTTATAATATGGTTTTAGGATAGTGATAATCCAATACCACTTTTTACACACTACAGGGTCATTTCGCTCAAAAATTTATTACTTTCTGCATTTTGGTTCCTTTTTGCTGTTTTGGTATTTGTTCTAATGGTCTCTAAAAACAAAATCTTCCCTATTAGCAAAAATTTGATTTTAATCAAGAAAATATAAAGGTGACCGTGCCAATTCTCTGATACTAGTACGAATGAAAAATTTTAAGAGTTGTATGATAATTGTCACGCACACAATTCATACAACTTTTTGTTTATTTTCATACAGTGGTTGCTTATATTATTTTGGCAGTTATCATACAAACTCCGACCATTTCAAAAACTTGTATCAAAAATTGTGACCATATTACCGTCTATTTTTCGCAAACTTTCAAAATACTGTAACTTCTATAACCTCTAAGATAGAGTCAATTAACTTTCGAATCTGAAGGGCAACAACCCGATTGTTACAAACTATTCTTGCCACTGATTCTATACTTTGTACTTTGAGTTTTCGGTTTTCAAATTCCGATATATGTAAAGGGAAATGCTACGGAATGTAGAATTTCCAAGTACATAAATTAATAATAAACAAAATTATAATAAAATTTTTCAGTTAAGACTTAAATTTAACTTTAAAAACTTCTATCTTTAACACTTACATAAAAATTCCTAGAGCCTATACCTTAATATTATAAATTAATTTAAATTTTTCTTTTCATAATAAAAAAACAATTATTTTTCTTTTCAGCTATATCCCATGCACTCGCATTAAAATGTTACAGTTGTGGTGATGAAAATCTTTATATTGATGCAAAATATCCTGATTCACCACCCTGTGAAGAAATGGATAGATCAATGGATTTAAAGAAATTTGAAATTGAATGTCCAGCAGAATATTTGGGATGCATAACACAAATTAAAGGTAATTAATGAGACAAAAATAAATACGAAAAAATCAAATTAAAATCATAAATTTTTAATGTTTGTACTCTTTGTTATATTTTCATTTCAAAGGACAACACTTCTCATATTGTCAAGCAACACAGAAACATGTAAAATCGTTTCAATTGGCATAATTGGGCCGAATTATACCCTGCACCTTGTCAATCTGAGTTTAAAAATTGCTTTTTTAAATATTTAGAATTAACTTTCATCGTATGTCGAACCTGTGAAATCATTCTATAGAAAGTCCACGGATATGTATGATTGGACACGCGACTGCCATTAAAATTAACCTCTCTATGTTGTATGGGAGCTACCCAAACCCGTTGTTCGAATTCGTCCAATCGGTCCTTGGCAGAAAAGAAACAACTTGTAAAAGTTTGATGTCGATTGTATTATTCGTTTTTAAGTTATCTTGTAATCGGACGGACGGACAAAAATGTCTAAAAATGATTTCATAAAATTTATATATGTATATAGTTTTTTAATTCGTGTATATTAATTTATTCAGAAATTTTAGAAGTTTTCAAATTTTTATGTAAGTCCATACATCCATTTTTATATTACGAATCTTTTGAGAGTAAAAAAAATATTATATTCTGAAGCCGTTAAGGAACAGTTTTATTAAATTTATTTACAATATTTCATTCAATCAGTGGATCAGAATCGATCAGTAGATGTGATAAAGATTATGATTCGAAATTTTCAATAAAATGCTTGCCATTTCGTGCCTAAAAATACATGAAATAGCAAGCATGCATGTTTTCACATAAACATACATACATGTATGGAAAATTATAATAAACCAAAAATTCTTGGAACAATATATTAAAATGTTCTTTAAATAATTGTCTGTTCACTTGAACTTTATATGATAAAAAAAAATATAACACTTCTTTAATTTTTTCTTAACAACACTAATTTTGCCTTATACGTTAAAAATATCACCTCACAAAATGGAATTAATTTAATTCGAAAAATTATTTCATGTCATAAACGATTGCATATGACATTAATTACCTTTACTTAACATGACATGTCTTCAACTAAAAATTAAATTAATGTCATAAAACACATTATATAAAATGACTTTCATCATTTATTGATATAAAATGTTTCCAAAAGGGTTCATATTTCAAAATTTACATGACGTGATAGTTTTTATTGAAGGAAAAGTGACATTACGCACTATAAATTTTATAATAAAATAATAAAAATAATGTGTGTGTATGTTGTAAAAATTTGCTTAATTTTGTAATTTATAATTAATAATTATATAAGGCGAAAATCTAAAGAATATTTATATTTGACATTTTAAGTATTTGTGTAATGAACGCAGGGCGTTATCACTTGTGCATTAAAAATATTTTCTATAAACATAAAATTTAAATATAAAACCAATAATTAATTGACAACAAAATTAATATTTAAGAATAAGAATTTTTTTTAAATATTGCATATGACGTGACATACGATAAGCGACTGCATTGTGTTGCTGAATAACCGACTACTATGCAAATTCCAATAAATTTTTTCTTATACTACTCTATACCGTTTTTTCCTCTAAGTTCGTTTAGCAAGTTGAAATCAAAATGTTTGTCCTAATTAAATTTGAATTATAAAATACTTGCGCAGTGAAATTTCATTTTCCAGGCTCCGATTTCTCTAAAAAAATCTCTTGATCCTTTCTTTGTAATCAATTGTTGGACTACACAGTTTTAGTTTGCCTTACAGTAAAGGTTTATACTTACTGCCTGGTAGGTCAAATAAATTCTGAAAAAATGTTATTAGCTTATATAAGACATGACTGAATTCGTAAATGAAATATCAAGAAAATCAGAGAATCATTTTTTAAGAATAATAGCAAATAATTCAAAAATACCCTATTTGTTAAGTTAAATACAGCCGTAAGCTCCCCAAAAGATGATCGAGTAGTCCTATTTCCTAAATAAACGCAGAAAATGTCAACTGTTCATGTAAAATTCATAGTATGATCACAATCTCTCATAAAATGTATGCAATGTGGTCAGTATAACTAAAATTATTATTTAAAAACTAAAGACCATTAAGTTATTTTTAATTTTAATAAAATATTTAGTTACAAAATAAATTTATTCTCTCTTCAAATTTATTGGCATAAAATATCTAATTAATGTTGTAATAATATCAGATAATATAACAGTAATTATAGAGAATATAAATGTATGACTTGAGTGTTAAAATAAATTTGTATAAATAAATTCAAAAATTATGCAATTGCATGCTGTTTAAGCAAAATCCTCGTGTATTCAACATGTTTTTAATGCATGTCTTAAAATAAATATGCCTTGATGTAGGTACTTAAAATTCTACTGTCTTCAGAAAGAAATTTAATGGTTACTCCTTTTTTGAATTTAACATATCATTAAATATACTAAAAGGGTATTTTAAAAATTATCAAAATTATTATACAAGTATAAAGCATTAAATTATTCTTATATATGTACGAAAAAACTACAAACATTCACGGTGGCCTGATTTAATGCCTGATTCAATGAAATTTGTGTTGAGAAATCTTTGAATACAGTTAACACTAGTTTATACACTACACTACACAAGACAATTACAATATCACTTGTTGAATTGATTCTTAAAAATAGAAATTTTTAATGTTAATTTCTATTGATTCCCATAAATTATATATGATTCCCGATTAAAATTATCACAAAATAAATGAGTTTTCAGTTTGGTAGGTCGGCGACCAGTTTTAGATTAGTTTCTCTTATTGCCATAAATATAAAACGTTCTTAATGTTCTAAACCAGCAAATAACTAACTGAAAATGTAATTTTAACTCATTAAATAGAATATCAATAACATTAAAGTATGTAGCTAGTCAGCAATTAGCAGAATAATTTTATAAAATTTTTATACTAAAAAAAAATTTTTCAAAATTTTTAATACAAATTAATTATAATTTTTACAGGAAAAGAAATAATGAGAACATGTGATGTATTTGCAATTGATGATTGTAAAACAGCAAATGGTATCACATATTGTTATTGTAGTAAAGATTTATGTAATAAAGAACATCAACAATTAATGGGGCATAGTGATGCTAGAAAAGCATCTCGTGATATAAATTATCCAAGTGATGATGAAGATTATAATGATGATTTAGATGATCAAATGCATGGTAGTATTGATGGTGGTGGTACTGGAAGAAATATTGGTGGAAATTCTGGTGGACATGGTGTTAATGGTGCCGGTAGTATTGGTACCAGTGGAACTGGTCATAATAGAAATCATAATCATCGTAAACATAATAAACATAGAAATCATTTAAATAATATTGAAGATGGTAATGATAATGATGATGACGATGATGATGATGATGACGATGATGATGAAGATGATGATGATATGAGAGATGGTTCTGGTATGAATAATTTAGGAAATCAATTTGATAAAGATAAATTAAATCGTGAAGTTGAAGTTATATTGAATAATAGTGGTAATAGAATATTTAATATTAATTATAATAAAAATTATTATTATTCTAGTCCAATAATAAATAATCTAAATATAAAATTATTGATTAAAATTAGTTTAATATTTATTCTAATAAAAACAACTACAATTTTAGCATTGGGTTAAATGATGAAAATTTATGATATAATTATATAATTTAAATTAAAAAGAAAACTACAATTTTTATTTGATTTTTGTTTCTTTTTTTCAAATAACATAAAAGAATTAGAAAATGGATCAAATTATAATAATTAAATTAAACTATTATATATATATGTATGTTTATCTATAAAATATCAAATTATAAAATGATTATGATTGAAACAATTGAATTTTTGAATGATAATTACAAAAATAATTACAAAAATTGCTACATATATAAAAAAAAAATAAATTATAAAATTTAAAAAAAATATTAATTAATAAAATATATTTAGATTTTAGTTGTATAAAATTACGTCATAAATATCATTTACTATCTATGTAAGTATACTATAGTTATGTGTATATGTATATGTTCATAATGTTCAGTTAATGTTATAAAATGAAATAATACAAAAAAATAATAATGCCTACATATATACGATATAATTTCAAAAATAAGTACATACAAAATTATTATTTAAATACGAAAGGAACATTTTTTAAAAATGAAAAATGTACGTATGTAGTAGCTAATTGAAAAACTTAAATTTCATATATACCATATATATATTATAAGATTTAAGGCCGAAACCGCCGTAATATTAATTTGACAATTAAAATGAATTAAACTTTTACTGCAAAAATTTGAGATCTTAAAAAAATTTCTATTGCATAAAATCTCATATTTCTGCAAAAATATTTTTGAGAAATTAATATAGCAATAATATATATATATATATACATACATATGATTATGAATATTAAATTTTTAATGATATTTGAATATTTTAAAATTTGATATATTTTACATAGAAACCTACTGATTCTTCTCAACATTAGAAATTATATAAATGCACTTCAACTTCTAAAATTTTTGAATTTTTAAATTATTTAATACAAAATTATTATGCATTATGTATATACATATAAAAATATAACAAAATTCTCGAAAAATTTGTTCAAAATCGCAAGCTCGAAAAAGAAAAAATTTTTTTTTTATTGTATTTTTTCTTCAAAATATAAAATATTCTACATTTGAAAATCTCATATATCTGGCAATATTGTGCTTTTAAAATTTTTAATTTAAAATTTTCTCAAGCTTAAAAAGCTCAAATTTGTAACAATATAATTAACGATAACAATCATTTAAAAAAAAATTTGTAAAATTATTTTGAGGGTTCTCCTGAATGTATGCAATGTTTTAATTTGTATAACAATTATGTGATTATATTGCGTTCTTTATACTATTATTTTATAAAAGCGTTTTTTTTTTGCTAATAAAATTTTAAACTCGGAATTTTTATATTCTAGAATTCAAGAATAGCTTTTTCAGAATTTAGAATTTCATTTTCATATAATAAATTGTATAGTAAACGTTCTAAATTAACAATATATAAAGTAAGGAGAATATGTATAACAAAAATATAGGATATTTACTTTAAATTAGCCAAATGTGACGATATAAGGTGAAAGATTATTGTGCTTTCAATAGTATTAAGTTTAATTCAAAAATTAAATTTCAAATTTTAAATATTAATATTTCCTAATAAAATTTGTTGGACCTCATAATACTGAAACACAAATAATAGTAATTATCGTAATAAAATAAATTTTCCAAAATTCTAATCCAATTAACAAAAATACTTCCAATGCCTGTGTTTTCTGTAATATTATCTAATTTCTTTAAATATTTTATTACCTTATTAACTTTGTTGAATTTAATTTGTCCTTACGGACAAAGTATAATAATTATCCTTTCAATACAGCAATTTTTATATATTTAAATAATTTATGTCAAATATTTTTATTAATTATGTATTTATAATCTTTTATTTAATTTATATATACAAAAAATAAACCTACCTAAATAATTAGCCAAAATGATCCTAAATTTTAACACAGAATTGAGGTTAAATTAATTACTTTTCCTTTTAAAATTGATGGCCCAACAAATAATTAAAATTGCATCTATTTTTCTTTCCATATATTATTAGTCCTAAATAACAATAACACAAATTTATGTATGTAATATAATATACACAATATATACTCGTACTTTATAAAATTTATAAAATAAGTGGTCCAAAGAGTATATAAATAATCTATATAAAATTGGGTTCCTCTCTGTTTTAGTTTTAAAAATTTTTAACACTAAAATCTGCTTATCTATAAAAGGTCATCACCAATAATGATAAATCACTATAATGTTTTTTTTTTTTAAAAAAACCTCAACATACTGCCATATAAATTTTTTATGTGATTTTTGCGTTTTTTTTTTTCTTGTTCATTTTCGTACCAGTATAAAAAATGTCCTTTAATTCAAAAATTTCAAATCCTTTATAAATGGGGAAATTTTATATGTTGTGTCTCCATATAATTTAAATACATATATGTGCATTACTTATATACCCTAATATTTTATTAAATAACTAATAGTCGACTAGGAACAAAATTAAAGAGTATCGTCGTAATAGGATCAGGACTTAATGTTCTACAATTTTTTTTATATATTATTTGTAATATAATTTTATCCTTGTAATATGGTAGAACAAATTATCTGTACATATATGAAATAAAATTATTTGTACTCAAATAATTACAAAGTATGGTATATGGAGTATGCAATACACTGAGTACGTATGGATGTGATCAGTTTTTTAATATTATATTTACTCTTATATACACATAGGTACATTTGCAGTAATTCTCATTGTGTCTTTGATTTATTCAAATGACTGTTGTGTTTATTTTACATATAGTCCTGTGCCATTATTATTCAAATTTTAGTTTTCGTCCTTATTATAATTTCGCTGACAAATGATAATACCTTCTTAACACAAAATTTATTATGTTAGGGACCATTTAATTCTATAATAGTATTGCTTTGCCTATATATACGAGTACATAATATGTTTTACGCAACATTTGAAATATTATATATCGAAATTAATTTACTACATGACACACACACATAAAATGAAATTAAGTTTAAAATTTGTCTATTGTACTGACTAAGTAAAAGTGTGAATATTTCATAATAAATATTTTCTAAAAAACGAGTACATTTCAAATTGTAAAGAAATTTGTAAAACATTGGCAATATCTTAAAGCTACGATATTAAAAAAATTTTTAATTAATTTACGATATGACAATGGAAATTTACGGTATCTTAAGTTATTAAATTTAAAAATTACGGTCATTTGATTTACCTTAAATTTGAACAATATTTTAAAAGAGAAGTTTTCAAATTTGAAATGATGCAAGTCTTTTAAAATATTGGCGGCTTTCGTTTATGCAAGCTGCGCGCTGAAAATTCTACATTAGAACTAAAATTTCTAAGTCTCAGCGTTAAACAGTATGCAAAAACTTTAGCTAAGTTTTTTTTTGTTAACGCAGTCTACAAATTCTGAAACATCTAAATAATCAGTCGTTCGAAAATAAAATTGTATTCAAATACATTTCGCCATCCAATTCGCTGCATAAGAAGGAAATTTAATAAAATTTAAAGACCTAAAGAAAACTTATTTTAAAAAATTATTCGAATCTGCCATTTTGAAATTAAAAATTTTTTTGAATTTAAAAAAAAACAAATTTTATGAGGTAGCAACAAAATTTAAAATGGCGCTACTTTTCTAACATTTCTGTATAACAGATTGAATTTCCGAACGCACTTAATTGCAACCAGTAATTTCTGAACGATTTATATTTTCAGTGTATATAGGGTGAATTTTCAAACGTACTACAAGCTAGAACTATTCTAGAACCGAATAAATGAAATTTATTTTGAAAATTTACTGAGACTACAGCCAGAATAAATAATTTATGTGACATTTCTTGAATTTCCGATTTGCGATATTTTTTTGGACAAATTTAAAAAAAATTATGTAATTAACTACCATTCTTCAATAGAAAAACACTGTTACATATGTGTGTATAAAACAATAAAGATTAAAGAATCGTTAACCATAACTCTTATACACAATAATAATTATTGTTATACAAAATACATTCGAGAATACGAAAATTTTTCCACGTCCAATATAATTAGGCTTCCAATTGTTCACAAAATAATTTTCTTAATTTTTTTTTTTTATTGTTAATTTCTCATATCCTTATTCCATTTTATATACTCGTATGTACCTACAATTTATATTGTATTTAGAATAACGTGCCACAAAGTTCACATTAATTTTGTAAATGGACTTTGTTTTGTTCTCTTTTAATGCGGTTCATTTACAAAACTTTGGTATATTCCTGATAAAAACCTGTTCCTTTCCTTTCCTTTTATTTATTTATTTGTGTTTAAAATGTGTTCTATTAGGGAAATTGCTATTTATAAAAGTGGAATAATTTAATCAATAAAACTGCTGGAAAATTGTTGAATGTTATTTTTTTTTGTAAAGTCACATAATAGGACATTTTGTTTTCAAATTTAATTTTGTAGATCAAAGCCTTGTATAAATGAATGTTTTCTTATTGTTATACATATTATGTGTAGGTAATGTAGAATGGTCTTAATGGTATTTAGAATATCGAATTTTTTTTTAATAAATTGACAAGATTTTATTTGTTGTGAATATTTAAATTCATTTTTAAAAAAGAGAACTTTTAGAGAAATCAAAATATCAAAGTGAAAATTGGAATTTTTGAAATTAAACAGCAAATTTATTTCAGAATTATAGTTTAGGGCTTATGCGAGAGATTTTTTATACTAAATAACTTTTATCATAATTTTTTTATGAATTTCTTAGAAAATAATCCTTCATTTTAAAATTTCTAAGCAACTTTTATTTTTTAAATTTAGAATTAATTTAAAGGGATTGCTCTAATGTATGTCTTTCTTTCTTAATTTTTTGTAAGAGCAACTTCATTCAGCTAATTATATAGCAAACAAACACAAAATGTCACGTCTGTCAAAACTATATATTTTTGTTATGGTAAGGATCGTTTCCACTTTATTACGGAAAGAAAAAAAAAATTTGACAGTATTATTAAGAACGGCAACTTACCTAAAATTAAAATATTGCAAATTTTTCAATTAGCTA